GGGGTGCTATGTATTCAAGGTTTATCATAGGAATGAGGGATGCTATGTATTCAAGGTTTATCATATGGAGGGGAGTGCTATGTATTCAAGGTTTATCATAGGAATGGAGGGGTGCTATGTATTCATGGTTTATCATAGGAATGAGGGGTGCTATGTATTCAAGGTTTATCATATGGAGGGGAGTGCTATGTATTCAAGGTTTATCATAGGAACAGGGGTGCTATGTATTCAAGGTTTATCATAGAAGGGGGGTGCTATGAATTCAAGGTTTATCATATGGAGGGGAGTGCTATGTATTCAAGGTTATCATAGGAGGGGGTGCTATGTATTCAAGGTTTATCATAGAAGGGGGTGCTATGTATTCAAGGTTTATCATAGGAAGGAGGGTGCTATGTATTCAAGGTTTATCATAGGGATGGGAGTGCTATGTATTCAAGGTTTATCATAGAACAAGGGGTGCTATGTATTCAAGGTTTATCATAGGAACAGGGGTGCTATGAATTCAAGGTTTATCATAGGAAGGGGGGTGCTATGTATTCAAGGTTTATCATAGGAAGGGGGTGCTATGAATTCAAGGTTTATCATAGGAACAAGGGGTGCTATGTATTCAAGGTTTATCATAGGAACAGGGGGTGCTATGTATTCAAGGTTTATCATAGGAAGGGGGGGTGCTATGAATTCAAGGTTTATCATATGGAGGGGAGTGCTATGTATTCAAGGTTTATCATAGGGAGGGGGTGCTATGTATTCAAGGTTTATCATAGGAAGGGGGGTGCTATGGTATTCAAGGTTTATCATTTGAGGGGAGTGCTATGTATTCAAGGTTTATCATAGAACAGGGGGGTGCTATGTATTCAAGGTTTATCATAGGGAACAGGGGGTGCTATGAATTCAAGGTTTATCATAGGAAGGGGGGTGCTATGTATTCAAGGTTTATCATAGGGAGGGGAGTGCTTATGTATTCAAGGTTTATCATAGGGAGGTGGGTGCTATGTATTCAAGGTTATCATAGGAATGGGGGGGTGCTAAGTGTATTCAAGGTTTATCATAGGAATGTGGGTGCTATGTATTCAAGGTTTATCATTTGAGGGGAGTGCTATGTATTCAAGGTTTATCATATGGAGGGGAGTGCTATGTATTCAAGGTTTATCATAGGAACAGGGGGGTGCTAGGTATTCAAGGTTTATCACAGGAAGGGGTGCTATAAATCTAAGGTTTATCATAGGAGGGAGTGTGTATTCGTTTGATTTAGGGAGGGGGAAGTATGTATTCAAGGTTTATCATATGGAGGAAGTTATGTATTCAGGTTTATTTAGTAGAAGGGGGGGTGCTATGAATTCAAGGTTTATCATAGGAGGAGTGCTATGTATTCAAGGTTTATCAGTAGGAACAGGGGTGTGTATTCATGTCATTGCAGGAGGGAGTGCTATGTATTCAAGGTTTATCATAGAACAGGGGGTGCGTATTCTAGGTTTATCATAGAAGGTGCAGGAATTGGTTTATCATAGGGAGGGAGGTAGGATCAAGGTTTATCATAGGAATGGGGGGGTGCTATGTATCAAGGCTTATCATAGAGGGGGTGCTATGTATTCAAGGTTTATCATAGGAGGGGGGCATGGATCAAGGTTTATCATAGGGAGGGGGGTGCTATGAATTCAAGGTTTATCATAGGGAGGGGGGTGCTATGTATTCAAGGTTTATCATAGGAAGGGGGTGCTATGTATTCAAGGTTTATCATAGGAACAGGGGTGCTATGTATTCAAGGTTTATCATAGGAAGGGGGGTGCTATGTATTCAAGGTTTATCATAGGAACGGGGGGGGTGCTATGTGTTCAAGGTTTATCATAGGAATGGGGGGTGCTATGTATTCAAGGTTTCCTAGGGAGGGGAGTGTAGTATTCAAGGTTTATCATAGAACAGGGTGCTATGTATTCAAGGTTATCATAGGAATGGGGGGGTGCTATGTATTCAAGGTTTATCATAGGAAGGGGGGGTGCTATGTGTATTCAAGGTTTATCATAGAAGGGGAGTGCTATGTATTCAAGGTTTATCATAGGAAGGGGGGTGCTATGTATTCAAGGTTTATCATAGGAAGGGGGTGCTATGTATCTAAGGTTTATCATAGGGAGGGAGTGCTATGTTTTCAAGGTTTATCATAGGGAGGAGTGCTATGTATTCAAGGTTTATCATAGGAAGGGGGTGCTATGTATTCAAGGTTTATCATAGGAAGGGGAGTGCTATGTTTTCAAGGTTTATCATAGGGAGGGGAGTGCTATGTATTCAAGGTTTATCATAAGAAGGGGGGTGCTATGTATTCAAGGTTTATCATAGGAAGGGGGGGGTGCTATGTATTCAAGGTTTATCATAGGAAGGGGGGTGCTATGTTTTCAAGGTTTATCATAGGGAGGGGAGTGCTATGTATTCAAGGTTTATCATAGGAAGGGGGTGCATGTATTCAAGGTTTATCATAGGAAGGGGGGGGTGCTATGTATTAAGGTTTATCATAGGGAGGGGAGTGCTATGTTTTTCAAGGTTTATCATAGGGAGGGGAGTGCTATGTATTCAAGGTTTATCATAGGAAGGGGGGGTGCTATGTATTCAAGGTTTATCAGGAAGGGGGTGCTATGTATTCAAGGGTTTATCATAGGAAGGGGGGTGCTATGTATTCAGTTTATCATAGGAAACAGGGGTGTTATGTATTCAAGGTTTATCATAGGAATGGGGGGTGCTATGTATTCAAGGTTTATCATAGGAACGGGGGTGCTATGAATTAAGGTTTATCATAGAGGTGGGTGCTATGTATTCAAGTTTATGATAGGAATGGGGGTGCTAGTGTATTCAAGGTTTATCATAGGAAGGGGGTGCTATGAATTCAAGGTTTTATCATAGGAAGGGGGTGCTATGGTATCCAAGGTTTATCATAGGAATGGGGGTGCATGTATTTAAGGTTTACTATAGAAATGGGGGGTGCTATGTATTCAAGGTTTATCATAGGAGGGGAGTGCTATGTATTCAAGGTTTATCATAGGGAGGTGGGTGCTATGTATTCAAGGTTTATCATAGGAATGGGGGGTGCTATGTATTCAAGGTTTATCATAGAAGGGGGTGCCATGAATCAAGGTTTATCATAGTGTGCTATGTATTCAAGGTTTATCATAGGAGGGAGTGCTATGTATTTAAGGTTTACTATAGAAATGGGGGGTGCTATGTATTCAAGGTTTATCATAGAGGGGAGTGCTATGTATTCAAGGTTTATCATAGGGAGGTGGGTGCTAGTGTATTCAAGGTTTATCATAGGAATGGGGTGCTATGTATTCAAGGTTTATCATTTGGAGGGGAGTGCTATGTATTCAAGGTTTATCATAGGAACAGGTGGGTGCTATGTATTCAAGGTTTATCATAGGAACAGGGGGGTGCTATGTATTCAAGGTTTATCATAGGAACAGGAGGGTGCGGTATTCAAGGTTTATTATATGGAGGGGAGTGCTATGTATTCAAGGTTTATCATAGGGAGGTGGGTGCTATGTACTCAAGGTTTATCATAGGGAGGGGTCAGGAGGTGTAGCTCCAAAAGCGTTAAGAACCATTGATCTAGTGCGAGGTGAGTTTAGGATAAGCCTCTGAGATATTAATTAATTTTGGTTAATTGCACTTACACCATAACCCAGCAGTATTATGATCCTTTACAGAATATAGTATCTATTATGATTGTACAACACTTTGATATATTGTATAGGTAGACATACAGTGATGCCAGGATGCTTGGCTGAAGGGCATAAACTTGAATATTAGATGGGAACAAGTTGATGTGGAGAGACAAATATAATAAAGAAAGGGTTCTGCTTGTTTGCCAATCTGATTTAAAATGCATCACAACAAATCTTGCATCGTCAAGGATCTATTGAATCTCTAATGTAATTGTACGGCTAAAAAATTAATGAGTAGCCCCAACTTAGTTTTCCCCCAGGGTACAAAAGTTATAGTGTTAAATTATAATGGGAGAATGTAAGAGATGTTGAGATATACTGGGGGAGTGTGACAATTGTTGAGTGTTACTTGGGGAGTGTAAGAGTTATGGATATATACTGGGTTAAATGAATGGTAAAATAGGTAAATAATGTGAAATGATACGGAGAGAAATAAGGTGATGATGGTAAGTAAAAACAAGGATTCTGGAAACTGCTACTGAACTTACATTCTTAATTAAAATTGCACTTTGGCAGTTTCCTCTTGGTGTAACTTGGCAGTTCAGTGTTGTCAGTACTAGTGATGCTCTGGGAGGAGATGTCCAGATGTTCAACCTCAATTTTGCCCTTAAGTGTATCATTGTTTGCTAAGGCATCCACCAGGTCTTTGCACCCCTTAGGACTTAACTGATTCCTTTTAAATACCAAGCCAGTGTATTTTCTGCAGGAACAACAGTGTATAAGTATGTCTCAAGACATCAGGATGGCTCAAATGATAGGCAAAAATTAAATAAATATATACTGATCATGGACAAGTAATTGTGGTGGTATCCCCAAACCCACAGCTGTGCCTCTTCCAAAATAAATTACAATTAAAAAAATGGTCTTATTCACACAATAAAAGGCAAAACCTATATAAATCTTTTTAATCAAAAGCCTCTTATAAATACAGGACACACAGAAAAGATGGAAATGCTGAAGCAAGATAATGTGTAATATTTTGTAAAAGAGTAGATCCCATGAAAACAATGTTAACAATAAAAAAAAAATTAAAAGTTTATTAAATGTCAATAACACCAAGAAATACATATTCCTAATTTGAGACAAACTGAAAAATGGTATTTTGAGACATAAGACAATTATGTTGCTGTAAAATAAAAATAAAAGTTTCCATAAATACAAAACAAAGGACTATTTACCCTTGCACAGGATACAGTGCCCGCACCACTCTGTTGGCCCACTCTACTTTTGTATCATCTACATTGTACAGAAAAAGCTTGATGCCACTGCTTATTGGTTGTGAGGGTAGGCATTCCAAATCATTTGGATCAACTCCAGGGAGCAAGTGAACATCTGTGTGCATAAAGAAATGATACATTGTACAAAATGTCTTTATATATGATCTTATTTATCACTAATATTCCATACTGTAATATACACTACTGTAAATGAAAAGGAGCACCAAGACTTATAAGAAAAAATAAATAAAGGATTGGCTCTGCAATTATATTGGGTTGACCCAAAGGCCATCGAATAACTTTAAACTTGTATGAATAGGCTATACCCGTACTACTGTACAGTACTAACCTCCAGAAATCCAAGAAAGCCAGAAAAATGGAGATGTAATCCTACAAGCTCAACTAAAGCACCTATAAACAGGAAGTTGCTAAGAAAAACAAGATACCAAACCTAGGAGATGTGAGTTTATGGCAGCAAAAAGACTGAAAATATATTGTTATGAACCCCTTTCACCGCTTCTCAACTTCCACCACTGGTTACCAGCAGTCAGGTCGTATATAAAGAAGCAGTAGATGTTATTGCCGCTGGTTTCAACTACAGTGCTGGCGTGTGTTGCATTAAGTCTTTCGACCTGTGACCTCGCCAGATGTATAAATGTTTACAGACAAATCCTGGTTCTGCTGAGTGGATGGTCTACTGTGGGTGGCAGGCCTCCCCACCATGAGGGAGATCATCCTCTCTAGTGATGCTATGAAGACCAGCCCTCTGCTCGCACTAGTGAACACTGGCTCACAGTCCTGTCCGAGAATTTGTGCTGGGAAAATTTATGCAGTAATTATTGTCCCTTAGAACACCATACTGGTTCGTGATTGACCCACACTTATCAGAACAGCATTAGTGATGACATACCCCAGTACTGAAATATTGTTGACTAATTATGCCTACTCGTTTCTGCCTTATCTAGAGTAATAAGACAATGCGGAATGAAGTGTAGCTAAGATTAATAGAGTTATGAACTTTGTGTTATGTCACTATGTTTAATAAATTGTAATTAAAAAAAATTTTTGACACTAACTAATTATGTATCAGTAATTATGTATTAGATGGATCACCATGTAATATTATGAATGCCTTCTCCTCTGGAGGTTTTGATCACATCAATAAATATTGAATGCGTCAAAAAGCGGGTTTCAATCATTCCCTTCGAATTGCCCCAACTACATAATAGATATAAACATAAGTGTCGCCGAATTCCACTGGCTGTCCCACCAGTCTACGGTAAATTCTCGACGATCGGATCAGTGAACATACAAACAACAGGCAGGTAGAATTCCACGAGGTCACAGAAACACACTCTGCACTGTAGTCTCTTTTAGTTGTCACTAGATCTTCACAAAATTGTTCACAGGGTATGTTCTCACAAATGGGCTTCAATTCAAATATATAAGTCACAAAGTATATCTTCATAACTGGGCTTCACCAGATAATATACAGTGACCCTCGCTTAATGAACACCTCGTTAACGATTTCGATTAACTAACTGCCTTCCATAAGATCTTCAACCGTTAACTAAAAATTCCGTTAACGGTTCTACGAACCGACTCTCAACAACATGTTTTCGGCTGAACTGACCGGGCAAACTAGCTTTAGTATCAGTCCGCCAATACATTAATCGGTTCTAGGCTTAAATTCCTTACTATTTTAGTAAATATCAAGAAGTTTATACTATTCAATAATTTTAAAAGTTTAATATTCAATTTTTAGTCATTTTAACAATTATTGAACATAACTGAAGGTAAAGTGACTAGTTTAATGAGCGGCATCCAGCCTCTTAACACAGCAAACAGGCGTTAGTCTCTCTGTTTTCACTGGAGGTAACATCTTGCTTGAGACTCTCTTCAACTAAACGCTTTTTTTCTGTTTCCAAGCAAATTATTGGTCATTTTGAAATATATTTTACATATTGACAATATATAATGCAGTGCAGTGTTGAATTAAAGGAAATAATCTTGAATTACACCAAGAGAGCTAAAATTTTATGGGTGAAATGGCGCCATGGGGTGACTTCTCTTCCACCCCAATGCCTTCTTTTTCCTTCTCCTCCACCCCATTCTAAATCCCATCATCATCATCATCATCATCATCCAGGAGCCTCTACATACACACCTCAAAGTAAGTGAACTTTTCTACCATTTTTGTTGAATTTAGGAAATTTTCGTGAGCTGAACCACTACCCAAAACCCATTGAAACAATGGTTTCGGTTAACGAACTTTTTCAGTTAACGAACCAACTTCTGGAACGGATTGAGTTCGTTAACGAGGGGTCACTGTATAGTCAGCACACTACCAGTGTACAATTCCTTAGTCTTTCCACTTTTATTGCTCACAACAATTCCACAATACTGTACTTGCACACACTTATCTTCAGCTGTCACAAGACTTGTACTTCACACTCTAAACAGAAATGGATGACTACTCCCTAGGCAGCTTGTGAGTGTTTCCCCATGTCGTCAGATGCCTTGAGCATTTTAGCAAAATCCAGGCGCTGCAGGTCGAAACTTACTTCGGAGAGTTCTAGAATGATATAGACTTTCAATATGTAAATAAATCATTGCAAAAATGATGAAATACATTCTACAAAAATTCTACATAAGTAATACATCAATATATACAAGAAAATCTCCCAAAACTTGCAAAAATAACTGCTACTTGAAATAGAAAAGTCAAAACACCGAGTTCACAAAATTATAATACTAAATTATACCGCATAACAATATACAGGTACCTTGACTTACTACCACCCGGACATACGACCAGTTGTATAAAATATTTTTCAAATTATGTATTTTCGAGTCCCGACGTTAGTGATCGCGACTGTGTTTTGACAAAATTTTCATTAGTAATTCCCTAATATGGCTGGAAGCTTAAAAGTGAGAGTTCTCAAGGTGCTGAGAAGAAAAAGAAACACCCATTTTAGATTTTCTATGTATTATTTTCAGATTTTGACTTATGACCTGGTCAAAGGTCCCTAACCCCGCCGTAGTTGAGGACTGACTGTATACCGAACTTGGTCTTTTCCCCCTTACAGGATTGTGTCCAGGAGTTTTACCTAAAAACTACCATTTCCATTCCACGGATCCTTGGCAACTATGTCCAAGCCAACTTGACTCCTGCTGTCCGGAGGCCGACCTCCATCTAGAACAGGGGTTTCTAACCTGGGGTCCATGGACCTCAAGGAGTCAGATAATATAATTGACATTGCTGGATTCCTTGTAAGACCAGGAATATTTGAATATAAATGTCATATATTTTGCAAAGATAACATATTTACTCAGAGTAAACATTTGTATGTCTAATGCAAAATCTATGATGTTTATATTCAAAATGATCATTAAATTGTAAGAATTCAGCAATGTAAATTATATTCTGGCCGGGTAATTTGTATGAATTTTATGAGCTAAAACAAATATCTTCAGTTAATAAAAAAAAATATTCTTCACGACACTATCTGTCAATCAAAGTACCCACCTTGCCTCCCCCTCTTCCAACCACCAGATGGTCGGTCCGTCCCAACCTCCTCCCCACCCCACCAGCCCTCCCTTCAAGAGAAAGGTTGGGTGAAAAACTAGATTTTAACATTTAGTATTAAATAATAACTCAGATTAAAGTTAGATAACATAATGACATTGCTGGATTCCTTGTAAAACCAGGAATATTTTGAATATAAATGTCATATATTTTGCACAAAAGATAACATATTTACTCAGAGTAAACATTACAGTGACCCTCGCTTAACGAAAGCCTCGGTAACAAAATTTCGGTTAACGAACTGCCTTCCATAAGGATCTTCAATTGGTTAACGCAAATTCGAGTTAATCTAATTTCTACGAACCGAACTCAACATGTTTTCGCTGCACTGACTGGGCAACCAGCTTTAGTATCAGCCGCCAATACATTAACGGTTCTAGGGCTTAAATTCCTTACTATTTTAGTAAATATCAAGAAGTTTATACTGTTCAATAATTTTAAAAGTTTAATATTCAATTTTTAGTCATTTTAACAATATTTAACATAATTGAAGGTAAAGTGACTAGTTTAATCGCAGCATCAGCCTCTTAACACAGCAAACAGGTGTTAGTCTCTCTGTTTTCACTGGAGGTAACATCTTGCTTGAGACTCTTCAACTGAACGCTTTTTTTCTGTGTTTTCAAGCAATTATTGGTCATTTTGAAATTTATTTTACATATTGACGATATATAATGCAGTGCAGTGTTGATTTAAAGAAAATAATCTTGAATTACACCAAGAGAACTAAAATTTTATGGGTGAAATGGCACCATGGGGTGACTTCTCTTCCACCCCAATGCCTTCTTTTCTCCCTCCTCCACCCCCATTCTAATTCCCATCATCATCATTATTATCCAGGAGCCTTCTACATACACACCTCAAAGTAAGTGAACTTTTCTACCATTTTGTTGAATTTAGGAAATTTTGGTGAGCTGGAACCAATTACCCAAACCCATTGAAACAATGGTTTGGTTATGAACTTTTCGGTTAACTAACTACCTTCTGGAACGGATTGAGTTCGTTAAAAGAGGGTCACTGTACTGTATATCTAAAATTTGTATGTCTAATGCAAAATATATGATGTTTATATTCAAAATGATCATCAAATTGTAAAAATTCCAGCAATGCAAATTATATTCTGGCCAGGTAATTTGTATGAATTTTATGAGCTAAAACAAATATCTTCAGTTAATAAAAAAATAATAATTCTTCACAGGGTAACAGATGGTCGGTTGGTCCCTCCTCCCCCCACCCCCACCAACGTCCCAAGGAGATGTGTGGGATAACCACTAAATTTTAATAAATAATACCTCAAAACTAAAGTTAGGATAATATAATTGACATTGCTGATTCCTTGTAAGACCAGGAATATTTTGAATATAAATGTCATATTTTGCACAAAAGATAACATATTTACTCAGAGTAAACATTATATCTAAAATTTGTATGTCTAATGCAAAATCTATGATGTTTATATTCAAAATGATCATCAAATTGAAAAGAATTCCGGCATGTAAATTATATTCTGCCCGAATAATTTATGAATTTTATGAGCTAAATAAAAAATTATACTTCACCCGGCGTGGTACACCCACGCGGCATGTGAGCATCTGGGTTCTGGCAGGGCACCGTATGGCGTGGAAAGCGGAATGTGGGACGCGTAAGTGAGGTTGACTGTATATTCATTGCATGCAAAGTTGTGTTTATGTGCTTATGTGCATTTTTTTCTAGGAAGGGGTCCATAGCTTTCACCAGATTCTCAAAGGGGTCTGTGACTCAAAAGGTTAAGAACCACTGATCTAGAAGACAGTGGCGAGGTCACTCATCCGGGCCCTTCAGACACGACCTCCTGCCTGATATTGTTGTCCTCCCTGCTGTTGGTTCGTCTTCTTCTCCTGGCTGGATTTTCAACCTGAAGTGATTGCCCTCGTGGACCGCTCGAAATCCCACATGAATCCTGTTATTCTCTGCAAATACCACCTCTCCAGGATTTTCCCACTGGTCCCCAGGTAGGGTCGTCTCTACACTGATGGCTCTGTTGACCCAGCTGCAGGTAGGGCCGACTGGTGTCTACATCTCGCCTGATTCCCCTTGAGCCTATCAAACTTTCTCTCAGAGTTTCTGTGAGGCATCCTCCACCAGGCTGAACTGATAGCCCTCATTGCTATCTTCCGTTGAGGAAAGCCGATGGTTTCTGCCCTTGTCTGCTGCGATTCCAGGTCTGCTCTGGTCGCATTTGAAGAATCAGGACCTCATCCTCGAATCGGTTAACATCCCTTCAGGATGCAGGCCGTCCTGTGACACCTATGGTGCCAGTCATGTCGTTATCTTGGGGAATGAGGCAGCAGATGGCCTTGCCAAAACTGGTTGTGACAAGGCCACACCTGACAATGTTGTTCCTGAACATTTACAGCTTATAACCCAAATCTACAAACAGAAAGCTGGAAGCAACCATCCCGACCGCCCACTTACGATGTCCTCGTAAACGACCTCTCAGCATGTCTATATAGGTAGAGATGCGAAATGGATGTGATTGCTGCCGTGTCATCATTGGGTATGACTTTGCTGAGATTGGTATCCCGCATCCTGAGCAATCTGTGCATTATGCAGAAGACGACAGCGCACCTTGTCACTACCTCCT